TTACCAGCTGCTTTGAACATTTGTAGAGGAATACTTGGGGACTGGGTTGCAAATACACCACTATATTCCACTTTCCAGGAGCCTGAAGTATATTTGGGAACATACAGGAGAGACCTGCTGTTGGTGTGAAACACCAACCAGAGCAGGGCCTATTCCAACACATGGATGAATAATGTCACATCATTTTATTGCTGTGCATGAGGTCCCATAAAGAATATGTCGCTTGACTTAATTTTCCCACATAAAGAATAAAAGATATGTTTAAATCATTGCCTAGCTTTAGGCAGCACTTAGCTGCTGACCAGTGTGGAAATCCCATCCGGAAAAGACATGCAGACTCATCATCACCACCAAAGTGGTTTTCTACAGCAAGTGCTAACGCAAAATGAGACAAGAACTAGTTATTTTGGTGCAGGCAAACTACAGTTTTTTTCCATGAGCCTGTTAGTTGAGGTCAGTCAGATTAAAAAAAAAAAAAAAAAAAAAAAAGTTTGTTAAATTATAAATGCAATTAAAACCAAAGAGGGTGCACCGGGAGTAGGTGTTATTCAGTGTGTATGAGGGAGTGCCAGAATCTGGCTCTGAATAGTTTTGATTAACAAACCTGGGCCTGAATTGCTGGAGAACTGTTCATTTCGTTAAGCCATTATTCATGGCCTGTGACTGGTCATAAGCAATGTTCTGCATCCTGATGAGAGGATTGAAGCTTACGCTGGCATGATGAATGCCTGACAGCAGATAATGAATAGTGTACTTCCCTCACAATTCACAAATGCTCCAGGGTTTCTGAATTGTAAACTACCAGGCCAACTCACTGAACAAGTACATTGAAATAACATTCCCAAAAGCAGCAGGATTTCAGCTCTTTCTCTATGGGTTAGAGTTTAATTTCCTTAAATCAAAGCAGTACAGGTCAAGCAGGTGTCCCAGAGCTGCTTGTTGGTTTTGTCTCAGGCCCAGGCACTCTGCAAATACAACCCAACCCCTCAGTCACAAATCCCTCCTTAGGGACAGAGCTGAGGTTCCCCTCCAGGTCAAAACCCAACTCTCCCAAAAAGTACAATTCCTCCATGACTCCACCCTTTCCACTTGTAGCTGGAGCTGTATAAATACCTACAAGTGTAAATACTTGCAAATAACAACCCACACAGCGACATAAATAGCAGCCAATGGAAGCCCAAGTCATTCATTTATTAGTATATTGGCCAACGGACTGTCTTAATTATTTAACTATTCTGGTAAAAGCTAATGCATAAAGAACTTAAATGGTGCGTGGATCTTGCAGAGGGCCCTCAGCCAAGGGAAAATTCAGGCAGTTCAAAGTCTCCCCTGCATGCAAATGGGATGCAGTACCCTCCTGCTGCTCAGAGCTGCGGGATGACTGGCCAGGGGCAAAGCATTGCAAGCGATGCTTGGACCAAGACACTGCCGCACTGTTTTCCAGCTTTATCACAGCCCTCTAAATACCAGTTGGGCTTGTACCCAGTCATATACACATCCCCTAGTGAGCACAATGCCAGTATGCAAGGCAAGTGTTTCACTCACTGACCCAAGGGAAAGTGAAATGTGTAATAGCTGTCTAGTGAACCCTGGAGAAAACCACCCGAGAGCGTCGAGATGCGGGTGCTGCAGCTGAGCATCTGACAGACAACCGCGTGCAAAGAACGCTTCCCCCGCGGCAGATGAGGGGAAAATCGCTGGGCTTGAGGTATTCATGCTTCAGAGTTCGATCCCTCAACCCAGCTGAAGGAGCAATTAATTGAATTAACACGGCATCCCAGCCTCCGGAGCGCTCCCCACTCTGCGGCTGTGGGAAGTGTGTTGCTGTGGCAGGCCTGCCCACACGTCTCCAGATGACAGTGCTGCAGCTATTTCTTCCTCTCACAGCCCGGTCCTTGCTGCACGTGACAGCCATGGCACTCGTTAAGTTGGTGGCTTGGGACAGGCTGCAAGTTGGGAATGGCTCGAGTGAGAGCAGTATGCTGGGATGGCGTCGCCAAAAAGAAACAAGTGGAGGTTTTCCACAGACCAGGCATCGGGTGCGTTTTCACACTTGGCACCTTCTTAACAACCTATTGCACTGTGGTTCCGTGAGGTGAAAGCACATGATCTGGGAGTCCTTCAAGTCTGAGTTCCCGTATCCCACCGATCCACCTGGGGCTGCTGCTTCCAATGGGTGGGGGATAGGACTAGGAATTATGGACTTTGCTTTTCTTCTAGGAGTAGTACACAACTTTTCACACCATATTCCTTCCTATGTCTTTGTTGGGTTGATTTTCAAGATCTTAAAGGATAGCTTCAACCTTAGACTGGGGAGGGAACAGACTGAGTAGTCCCAACCCTTCCAGAAATTGCTTGTGTAATTGCAGTTGAATTACTCTTTCTATGCTTCAGTTTTCCACAGGAAATTATATTTCCTTTTACACTTAGAACTGTAGACCTTTATGCTGTGGGTCACTTCCCAATACTATTTGTACAGAATCCAGCGCAATGGGACTAATTTCAACAAGATTATCAAATTTTCTCAATCTCACTATCAAATATTTTTATTAAGCTCAATTTCATCCTGGTTGCCCTATTTAAGGGCTTCTTCCTGATGCTTAGACTCTTCTGTTACTCGTAGGTCTTTATCAGAGAACATTTTTCATGGCCCTTTTACTGGAATATAAATTCTACGGTGAAAATTGTAGGCTTCCTTTCGTAAATCTGTCCTCTTTCCCTCACTCAAACCTCCCCACTTCAACTCTGATTTCTTTACTTACAGCCCCACGGACCACCCCACCACATGAGGAATGCTCTTTCACATTCCTGACACTCTCCTGTTCCACCAGCAGCCGTGTGAACAAAATTTCAATGTCACCGTCCAAGTGGAAGCACCAAAGGCTTCAAAGGGAGCCTGTGGCTTCCATGCCAGCATTTTTTGAGGTAGTCACTCACTGCTACTTAGGTCTAGCATCAGCCTTAACCAACCATGCCACTTCACTTTCCAAAGCCAACCCATAATTAAAAGAAGGCCAATAGACTCTCAATGATGATGCAATGATGTGTTCTCAGGTGCTCTTCTAGGCACGAGGCCAAAAGCTAAGTTACCATTTAGGTAATTTGAAATGAAAGGCATAAAATTAGGCACTGACCAGAATTTCTCATTGCAATTCTTAATAGTTTTGACTTTGCTTTTCCAACAGTCAGCAGGTTTTTCTTCTGAGAAGTCCTTTCAAAAAATAAATTAGATGGCTATTTACCATGACTATCAGTTGACTCAGATGACAGGACACTGCACTTACAAGACCTTTCGCATTCCTCACTCCTCATTTTCTATTTCCCAATTAGGCCAGATTCTACTGCCTTTATTCATACTATTGCATTATTTCATAGCTCACACCAGTGATTTCAGTAGTGACTCCTGGGATAAATTACCATTTCCGTGTGCCAAGATGACCTGAAGTCCTTGCCGAGGGCTGTTTCAGGCCTTTGTCATGACTTTCTTATCCCATTTCATCCTCCACAAAGCCAGGACTTTCTCACAGCTCTACCAGCTTCCCCCAGAGCTGGTAGACAAACACCTTCCTGTGTTTACTGTGCTTAATGGGAGACCATTAACTGCGTCACTAACGCGGAGTGTATCGACCATCACTCTTATTAACTCAGCAACCCCACCACGTGCCTATCAGTAAGAAGGTATTTGTTGCCCTGCTTTATATGTGACAGTGGTTGTGTTGGTCAATGCCTCACTGAACCAGGTATTAGGTTTACATTTCCCATATTTGGAGGACAAAACACACGCTTTTAAGAAAGGGGTAACAACAATTAAAACGAGAATTCTGAATGTTTAGAAGCATTTAAAAGTATGAACCTCTAAGAATGATGAGACCATCATGTTCTTATCCTACTTCCCTCCAATGAAAGGCCAGCCAATCACTTTTGAGTGCTGTGAAATCCTCACTGGAGCTGGTGCACAGGGTAGAGCTTAGTTATGGAGCCTCTTGTAAGTCAGTGGGAATCTTTGTAAGTATAAATCTCAGAACCAATTGCTTACCAGTCATTGCTCAGGAAGAATATCGAGAGCACAAAGTCAAATTCCCAAAAAATAGGGAATGCCAGACTTAAGATGATCATGACCTAGTCTGGAAAGGACAAGCTGCTACACTCGATGCTACGTAGCCTCAGGGGAATGTGCAGTTACCCCAGTGCCCTATAAAATCTTCTCCCAGGCTTTCCACATTTGATATTAATAGGAGTCATAAACAGGCACAGAACCATAACACGAGATTAGCTGTTGTGATATCTGTTTCAGAGATAAACTATCTGACAACCAGTGAAACTGAAATGGAAACCAAGCCTCTATAGCCACACTGGCAGGAACACTGCAGCAGGATCCTGGAGAACAGAGTGCTCACAATGGGTAACCAGATAAGGGCAGAGCCAAGTTCTGTCCTATTCCACTGCTGTGCTCAAGTGAGGCAGCAGAACAATCAAAAGTCCTGCTACTGTTGTCATGTCTCTGCTGTGGTCCCTTGAGGACACGAAATTCCCACCTCTCACCTCTTACCAATAGTAAAAAGTTTTGGAATAATAGGATCATTTGGGTTGGAAGGGACCTTTAAAGGTCACCTAATCCAACTGCCCAGCTGTGGACAGGGACATCTTCAACGAGATAAGGTTGCTCAGAGCCACACCCTGCCTGTCCTAGAATGTTTCCAGGGATAGGGCATCCACCACCTTTCCATAGAACAGATATGGTCTAAGGCTGCAGATAAAGAAGGAATTGCCCTTCCTGAAGTTGCTGTTGCCTCCTAAATGGTTGTTTCTGGCCCTGTGGTGTGGTGTTGCTTTTGGAGGCAATTTTATTGAGACCAAATAATTTAACTGGTTGTCTTCAGTCACCTGGTCTTGACTGAATGGGAGCTTTGTTGCAAAGGTCTCTGCTGGCTGAATTCTGGTGGCAGCTCCTCTCCAGCTACAGACGTTGATGAGCACCTTGGGGCAGCAGGAGACTGTTAAAACTTGGCCAGATGAAGCAGAAGATGCAAAGAGCACACGAATGGGAGACTTTGCCAGCCTTTGAAAAGCCTGGAACATGATTTGATTGCTTGCTAAAAAGAGAGCAGGCTGTCTTGCAAAGGTGGAACATCTGCAATTAGGAAGGACTGGATATGTCACTTGTAGGTCACCAGGTGAGCCTTCTACCTGTGGGTCACCAGCTGAATTCAGCCCAACACTGGGAATTATGGACAGGAATTTTAATTACACGTTTGCTTCACGTTGGGTTGAACGCTTTTCAGGCATTATTCCTCACATGTGTGTCTGATATCTGGTACAATCAGGCCTTATCTTAGTTGGTTTCCTTAATCAAAGTTTCTGGATTAGTAGTCTACCGGAACTTGGGGTTGAACATAAATTGTTAATGTTAGTAAAAAACCCATTCACTTTTTCTTCAGCCCTACTTTAACCCAAGCTAAGGACCCACATTTTCTATGATATGCATGGTAAAAACTCAAGGAGAATAAATCCCCCAGACTTACCCATAATTTGCAACATTATTTTTCCCCCAAAAGCCTTTATTGGGGAGCAAGAAGGAAGAGAATTTCTGTTACAGCATTTGAAAGCAGGTTTCATGAAGGTTTCTCAGTTTGACAGTAATACTGGTTCCTCCCAAACAACTCAGCCTGAAACAGACAACTCATAATGTTAAAGTTCAGGACAGTTACAGTTGACTGGAAAAGGGACTCAGAATGGAAATTGTTGTGCAACTGCTACGTTATGACTTGCTGCCGGATCTGAAGACAATATTAAAAGCAGCCATTTTCTTCTGATTGATTTTGTACTCTCTTATCCTTCTGCAGAATGACAATGGTAACCTCTAAATGATAGCATTGCTTGGAGTTTTCTCATCTCCTTTTGCGCAGAAATAAACACCCTGTATTCAAGGGCACAACATTCTCGGAATTCACAGCACTTGGTGAAACCGAAGGTGATCAAACAAGCACTGGTTTAATAAATTCTGATGTGCACAGATATTCCAAGGGGGAATACTCTGTGTTTTACTTTGGTGAAAGCAGAGTCCCGGCACACTTAGTGCTCTAGTGTTTCCTCATCAAAATCTCCTCTGCCATATCAAATAGGGCACTGTGTGGAAATCACAGCCGCGTTTAAAGGAGATTGTGTTGACTTTATGAATGCGTCATAAAATGGGAACTCCATAACTCTGTATTGACACTGTTTTACTGTTGCAATTTACCATTCTAATGGCACTATTTAGGAAACAATGATTGAACTGCAATGAGATAATTAAGGAATAATCTCCATTACTTCAAAGTATACAAAGCAGTAAACAGCTGCCAAAAGTGATTAATAGCTGAGGTGAAGTTAAGACATTTAATCAATCTAATAAACCATTTATTGCAAGAATATAGCGGCTTACACTAAATGTGAGACATTTATCTTATTGATACAAACTGCAGTATTTGCCTTTCTTTAGGATGTAATATCACGAGACCTTGATTGTTCTTCCATTAAAGTCAAGGATAAAACTCCCATTGTGGTCCCAGGGTCAAGCCTTCACGGAGCTGATACCAATGAAAATAAATGCTTCCTTTTAATGTAGAACAGTTCTGCTAAAAACATCTTTTCCCCTATTATAAAACATCCTGTGGCATTGAAAGGGGGACATGCTTTACTGGCAAGGACAAATGTCAGGAGCCATGATGAAAACCTGGGTCTTCTTCTAGCTGGTACTGTAATTCCCTGCAAAGTACTGTTTTGTTTGTGCCTCCACCTCAGATCTGTGACAGGGAGACGAAACCACTCCCTTGCTCCATGGGATTATTTGGGATTTAGTTCATGTAGCGTACAAAGAAACACAGATAGAAGATACTGTACACACTCCACAGTGTTCCTAAAGAAAAAACAGAAAGGATACATGGATTGTAACAGCTATCTCATAACTGGCACGGGAATGGGAGTAGTGGGGGTGGAGAGGCCGAACCCATGCTCAGGGGAAGGGACCTGTTTCCGATGTTACAGCAGTGCTGCCAGTACAAGTACAGCTGAGCTTCTTCCACTTCCATTTGGCTTCCCAATGCCCTGCAAGAGTGTGGACTTTCTACAGCTCCAAGGGTGTTGGAGTATCCTGCTTTTCTGCTCTCCCCTTTAGTCTGGAGGGGTGAGGGAGCTGCACTGCAGCAGCAAAGGAACAAGCACAGGCAGAAAAAGCCCCTCCTGGCACATTCCCCCACCCTAGTTCCCCCCACAAACAGCAGATTCCCCTCTAAACTGAAGTAAGCACCCAATTCCTTCATCAGCTGAACACACACAGCGAGCTGCTTGACTGGAATTTTAGAAGATGAGTTGCAGAAACAATCTTACCAACATTAAAATCATACATACCACATTGGCCCAAGGTGAACACTGTATTTGTCAAGCCTTGCAAAACGTGCTTTTCGTCAGACAAGACATTTTTATCTCCTCATCCCTGCATAGAAAAGAGGCACTGGAGCACATGTTCTCCCACCACAGGTTATAATTGCTCTTCCCCTGCAAAGAACTGGAAGATGTTCTTAGTGCTGGATGACTCTTGAACTTGCTCTGAAGCAATTCCTTTGTCTTAGTGCTAGCAGGAAGCTCCTTTGGTTTTCCTCAAATATAAATATTGATACAGAAACTCATACCAAATAATAACAGAGGTATGAATTTATTGTTTCAGCAAAAGCTCCCATGCAAATTAACCCTCGGATAATTAAAGATGCCTGCAGTGCCTGGGCGGGTAAAAGATCAAGCACTTGCTGGATTACAACATAAGCAGTGCTGTGATAAAGCTGCATAATAACTCAGGAGCAGGAGCTCCCAGCCTTCACAGGTAGCAGGGCTAATTCCATCAGCCAACATGTACCAACTCCTGTTCATCTGCGCCCGATCCAACCTGCAAGGGACGGTTTGGAACAGCAAGACTCTTGTCTGGAGGAGCCAAAGCCAGACAGCAGGTTGAAACTTGCACAACTGGATGCAATGCAAGCAGTGGCATCGCACTCGCTCCCTGTGCAAGTGTTTGTCATAGAACGGGCAAACCTAAAATACAAGTCCCAGAAACCTGCAATACTGGTATCTCTGCCTGTACTGCTGTTTAGGGAGTGTTGGTTTTGGAGAGAGAAAGCGCAGGTAGATTTTGAATCACTTTTTCTGCACTGTAAAAACCACAGCAATTCGAAGACTCCCAGCAAAATGTTTAAATGTGTTAACTGTGGGAATGGAACAAGGCCCCAGAGATTTAAGTCGTTTTCCCCAGGAAACTGGATGTGGCACTGATGCTGAGCAGAAATTCCTCGAGGCTGGGCCTGTAGTTTTCCTTCACGGTAAAGCACTGCAACAAGAAGAGCTGCTTAAATTGCTGGAATTAAACACAGTGGTCATTTCTGCAACCCAGCTTGGCAGCTGAAGTGAATCACAGAATTCTGGAATGGCCTGGGTTGGAAGGGACCATAAAGACCAACTACTTCTAACTTCCCTGCTATCAGCAGGGACACCTTTCACTAGACAAGGTTCCTCCAAGCCCCATCCAACCTGGCCTTGAACACTTCCAGGGATGGGGAGTCAGTGCCATGGTTTTGCTACTCTTTAAGTAAAACTGTAACTAAATACATTTATGAGGGTTTTTTTTAAATGCACGTGGGCAGTAGCTTTGCCTCTTTTAGGGCAAAAGGAAGACAGCCGTAACCAACATTACTAAAATTCATGTTGCCTGGGTCTATGCCAGCAATAAAAGGATTTTCCCAGTTTAGGTAGTTTATTTTAAAATTACATTTGTCCTTTCTGTAGCGAGGTTGCAATAGAGGCTTGTATATACATTAGAGTTCATTTTTTCTAGGAGTGAAAGGAGGTTGAAATTCCTTATTTATGTTAAATACGCCACCATGCTTTCTCAAAGGTTTTCTCTTGATTTTACACTATGACAGACCCACAAAAGAGCCATTATTTGGGGTGGGCTCTGGGTTAAGGCAGGTACTGAGGAGGGCGGGAGCAGGGCAGGCACACCACAATTTATCTCCTCATGCACCAGCAAAGCAGCAGCACTGGGAATTCCTGGAGAGCCAGACATGACTTTTAGGAAAAAGACAGAGAGTACTGGCTCTCGGAGAAGTAGCCAAGCCTGTCCTCGGTACCTTCTCAGTACCAGAAAGACATGGAGTTCCTGGAGCGAGTCCAGCAGAGGCTACAAAGTTTATTAAGGGACTCGAGTATCTCTTGTACAAGGAAAGGCTGAGGGAACTGGGCCGGTTCAGCCTCGAGAAGAGATGACTGAGAGGAGACATCATCAATATCTATCAGCATCTACAGGGAGGGTGTCAGAGAATGGACCAGGCTCTGCTGGTGGTGCCCAGCAGTAGGACAAGAGGCAATGGGCAGACACCGACGCACAGGAAGTTCCACCAGAACATGAAGAATTTCGTTACTGTGCAGTGACCATGCACTGGAACAGAGAGGCTGGGGAGTCTCCCTTAACGGAGATATTCCAGAACCATCTGGACACAATCCTGTGTCGTGTGCTCTGGGATGACGCTGCTTGAGGAGTGAGGGTGGACTAGGTCCCTTCCAGCCTGACCTATTCTGGGATTCTGTGATTTGAGCTACACATCTGCCTCTGAAAAACACACCTCATGGCCACCTGTAAAAAAAACCACCTCACTCCCCACATCTCCTAAGCAGACGGTTTATACCTGGTCCCAAAGGGTACGGTGTTAACATTCATTAACATTAATAAAATGTTAAAGTTTATAAACATTTATTAACAAAAATATTAACATTCGGGTCCAGAGAAGGGCACTGGAGCTGGGGAAGGGTCTGGAGCACCAGGAGCTCCTGAGGGAGCTGGGGGGGCTCACCCTAGGGAAAAGAAGGCTGAGGGGGGACCTTGTTGCTCTCTACAACTCCAGGAGAGGAGCTTGTAGCCAGGTGGGGCTCGGTCCCTCCTCCCCGGTAAAAAGTGACAGGATGAGAGGACACGGGCTCAGAGGAGGTTTAGGCTGGACATTTGGAAGAATTTCTTCCCAGAAAGGGTGACCAGACATCGGAACGGGCTGCCCAGCGAGGCGGTGGGGTCCCACCCATGGAGGGTGTTTAAGGAAAGGGTGGACATGGCGCTGAGTCGAACACGGTGGCGCTGAGCCCCGGGTGGGACCCCACGGTCCCGCAGCTCTCCCCCGACCCAAACAAGCCCGCGATTCCCCCGATTCATCCTTTCCCGCGCACCCCTCGGGCGGGAAATGGCGGCCGGGGCGAGCGGGCCCGCCCCGCGCCCTCACGGCCCCAAGCGCCGCCCGCCCCTCCCGGGGCACTCCCCTCCCGTCCCCTCCCCTGCCCTCCCCTTTGTACGGCCGTGTCCCCTCCCCCGGGCCCGCCCCGTTGTTTACCGCGCTCCGCGGGCGCTGCCGCTCCCGCCCCTCGCTCGGGACCCGGCGCGGGGCGGGCCGGGCGTGCTCACGGGGCTCCGGGCGCGGCGGCGGCGGAGAAGGAGGAGGAGGAGGAGGAGGCGGCGGCGGCGGGTTGTGGCGCAGCGCGGGAGCGGCTCGGCCCCTTTCCCCTCCCTTCCTCCCCTCGCGCCGCGCTTCCCTCCTCGCCCGCCACCGGGAGAACGGGGGGAGGAGGAGGAGGAAGAGGAGGAGGAGGAGGGGGCGGCCCGGCGAGCGGCGGGAGGAAGGGGGGCGCGGGGATGAGATAAGCGCGGGGGCGGGCGGCCCGGGGGGTGATGTAGGGGCGGCTCAGGTGGATGCGGGGGCGGCGTGAGGCCGCGGGGGGAGGCGCGGAGCGCAGCGCAGGGACGGGGGCTCTTCCCCCGCCTCGGGAGGCGGCGGCGGCGGAGGGGGCTCGGAGGGGAGGGAGGGAGGGGGTGGGAAAGCGCTCGGAGGGGCTTCCCGGAAGGGTGAATCGGGATTGATCCCGATTAATTTTTTTTTTTTAATATTTCTTTTTAAGGGGTTGCGCTGCTCAGCCCCCCACCCCCGCCGCCGCGGAGAATTGGCGCCAGGAGGAGGAGGAGGAGGCGGCGGTGGCAGCGCGGTGCTCCCCTTCCCCTCCACCCCTTGGCTTCGCTCCTGGAGGAGTTAGTTTGAGGGGGTTTCTGCCTTTTTTTTTTTTAAGTTTTTTTTTTAATTTTTAAATACGAACCTGCGTATTGATTTTATTTTTTTTTTGGACCGAACAAACAAACAAACAAACCCGCTCCCCCTCCCGCCCCGTTCCCCCCCTCCCCACTCCCGCCCCGCACACACGCCTGCCTCTGGGAGGGAAATAGCCAGGTGGAATCTCACTCTGTTTCCATGGACAACCCGTCCATTATCACCCAGGTGACTAACCCCAAAGAGGAGGAGATCCTGTCCTGCACTCAGGATAAAGGTGAGCTGCCTTCTCTCTTTTCTCCATGATTTATTTTTTTTCTTCCTCCGCTTAAAATCGCATTCTTCAGTGACCGTATAATCCTCTCTAGGCTGTTGGGAATAGAGGAGGGCTTGTTGGGTTTGGGGTTGGGTTGGGTTTTGGTTTTGGTTGGTTTTTTTTTTTGGTGGGGTGAAGGTATTTGCATGAAGATCTCTGAATCTGCTTGCTGGATGCAGCTGAGAACTTGTTAGAGTGTTTAAATGCCGAGTTTAACCGGTCATTTAAATAAAATACTCTTGTTCCTCGAGGATCAGGGAGGTAACTTTGTACGGTGGTCACTGTGCAGTTTGTGCCCTGCTTCAGGGAAGGGATACCTGTGCTGGGTGTGTTGGAACGTTTTGAAATCTCAGCTGTTGAGATTTTAAATTTTTTCCCTCCTTTTTTTTTTTTTTTTTTTTAAGTAAAATAAAACATTCCAGGTTTCTTTCTGCTTTCCTGTGTCCCTTCCTGCCTCACATTTGAGAATGTGTAGCTTTCAGGTTTGTTGGAGGATATTTGTGCTACTTTTAAAAGCGGCTCTGTTTACTCAGTTTATAAATTGTTGTTGCCTGTGTCAGGCATCGTGCTTGGATTGTGATTTACTCCCGAATAAGATGAATCCAGCATGGCCAAAGGAGCTGCTTCCCTCAAAAGTCTGGGTGTTGATGAGTGCCCTTAACCTTGTTTACTTTTGGAAGCTCGGAGCGGTCTTGGGGCTGTAAGTGGCTGTGTCCTTGTGTCTGGTGGTGAGCAAGGTACGGGGTGAGCAGCAGGGTTCAAGTTCTGGGGAGTTGTGTGTGGATTTGGGAAGTTACCTGGGATGTCAAGTTTATGCTTTCTTGCAGGCAGTCCTGGTAAATAGGGGGGAAAGGACAGAAATTAGAAACAGTGTCCATGTTCCCTGGTAGGTACAGTAAAACCTCCAAATGGTCTTCTAAAAATGGTAGATTGATGTACCTCCCCCTAAAATGGATGGGTTTAGTGTCCAGAAAGCTTCCATTTTTGTGTGTCTCGTCTTGTAAATAGGGAGGGGTCCCATATTGTTGAAGTTGTTCCCTGTTACTTTTGACTAAGAGGCCGTACCTGAAATCTCTCTTCTCACCTCACCACTGCTGCCTGCAGAAGTATGAAGGTATATTTATTAAAAAAAAAAAGCAAAAATAAAAAAGCCATGAGGTTGGGGGTTGTTTGAAAAAAAAAAATTATTTTATTTGTCCAGCATAGGAGTGTTCATGGAACTCTTTTTAATTCCTATCACTTGTGAGGTGATGCTTCCACCGTGAGGCCTGGTTTGTCTCAAGAGATTTGTCATGTTTTCCTCTGTTTTGGCAATGTGGAGTGTGGGGTATCTGCAGTAAATAAGGTGCTCTGCTCTGCCTAGGACTTGGTTTGGGGTGGACGTACGTGGTACTGTGCTCAGATGTTGTTGGGGTCTTAATGGCCTGTGTTATTGTAAGTAATGGAAGGGCTTCGTTTAATATCAGTAGCAGCTGGTTGAAGTTTGAGTGTGGAAAAAAAAAAAGCCAGTTGAGACAAGTAAGGGAAGATTTGACAGCTCAAAATAAGAGTGAGCATCCACATCAAACAAGTGGCTTCAGAGTCCTTGGTAGAGCGAGCAAAAATATGCATGTAACTTGCATAACTCTGCAGTAACTTGCATAATGTGCATTGTGTTCTTGCTATTGGTTTGTCTTTGGCAGAAAATGGTCTTCATTGCAGAGCAGGGGCTTTTCAGGCTGTGTGTTAGCAAGGCTGGGCGGGGGGAGAGGGGAAGGAGGGGGAGCTGGAGTTGGGAGACCAGGGAAGTCCAGCATCGTCTTCGTGCAGGAGGTGAATTGCTTTTTTTCTGGTTTTGGCGTGGTTTTTTTTTTTTTTTTTATTGTGGTTAAAGTGCATGCATCGGACTGACGATGTGCTTTGTGGTGAGACTGTCAGATTACTCCGGAGCAACTTTTGCAGGAAGAGAACTGCAGGTCTGTCCGTCCAGGGCTCTGGAAGGAGAGCGCTGCTTGCTCCAACCTCTTCCACTACAGGTTTTCCCAGTGCTCGAGGTACGGAGCTGGTGAGAACCCGTTGCTCTACCTGCCTTCCTGGCGTGGTTACATATCACGTCACCCGATTTTCTGTCGGATTTCTTCACACTTCTAGCAAAGCCTTTAGGTCCGGAGAGCTGCGAGAGCGCCCGGAGCAGAGATGGGAATACTGATAAGGTTCCTAGCAGGAGACCGATGTTGAGCGAGTCCTCCCTGCTAATTCAGAGTGAACTGAATGTACTGGTACAAAATGGCTAACAAGTATGTTGAGGCATCATGAATTAACTCTTTGTTTAACGAAATCACGAATCACCTGAGCCTGAAGTCTGAAATGCAGCAGCTCTGTGCTGTGTGAGCTGGGTCTGTCCAGTTTATTGAAAACCTGTTTTTTCCTCTGAGTTTAGCATTTGGCTGCAGAAATAAATTCCAGGGTTCTAGGTGGCATGTGGTGGCTTTGGGGAATCAGTGTTTTCTTACGGTTTTTGAGCCCTTCTGCTGCTGTTTCTTGAGGGGAAAAAAATGAATTTATATTCCTGTTGTTGAGCTGGAGAGAAGCAGTTTTGCAGTAACTGAGCAGCTGCTAAATAATGCATGTGTATACCTTCAAGGTTTTGATTTTTCTCCCAAGATTTTTTTTTTTAAGCTTTTAATCAGATGTGAGTCCAGCATTTAGCCTGATTTATTTTTTAAAAACGTATTTATGTTTTAAAAGGAGGTCAGTGTGCAGCACAGGCTCATGCCAAATTTCTCCTGTGCAAGGGAGCGCCTTTGGCAAGAAACAGAGCTGGTTCTCTGGTCCTGGGGCAGTTCTGGTTTTAGGTAAACAACGTGCTTTACAAATAAAAATGCCCCAAGTTTTTTTTTTTTTTCTTGCTAGCCCAGATGCATTAAAAAATAGGTCTGGAGATAAGAGTGAAGCTGTGACACCTTGTTAAAAGGGAGCTTATAGATACCAAGATGGATTTGTTAACGTTTAATTTTTTTAATGAATGGCAAGAAATTTTCGAAGGTGGAAAAAACCAGATCTTGGTATGTGAACCATTCCCTAATATGTTGCCACATGGTGGTGCACTGGATTTAGTTGTCTGTCAAAATGAAAGCTGTGCATGGAAGGTTTGCTACAGTCGTATTTTTTTATTATTATTATTATTGTAATGTTCTCAAATGCCTGTGGTGTTCGTGCTGCTGGAGGATTTTGGTCCCTTTGTATGTTGTTAAATTAGTTCTGGGAAACAGAAACTTAGGTTCTCCCAATTAGAAGAGATGTGAAGGTGCTTGAAAATATCTTGAACACTGAATCCACAGATAATTTGACTCCCTGTTAGTTTTTTAAGTAACTAAAATAGTAGTTCTTTGCAGAAATATTTTATGTTGTGGTCATCTGGCACTTCTGGGAGTTGGAAACATTACCAAGACTTGTAATTTGAAATTAAAATGGAGACATAAATAAGTGAAAGGGGGTTTGTTGTAACAGGGTTAAGTGTGAGCAAGTAAGAAAAAATATAAGTAAAAGCTACAAATGAAAATTGAAAATCTGATTTTTTTATTGGTATAATTAATTCTACAGATAAAATCAGCTGTTTATTTTCTAAAGGAAAGTATTAATTCTTATTACTTAGTTGAACAGAGACCTCTAATGCAAGATCTCTATGGTTAAATGTATAGAAAGCAGAGCAATGCTGACAGGCCCTTGCATTGAGTGTAGGATGGAGAGCGAGATCACGGATGGGCAACAGACATTCAGCCCAAGGAAGTGAATTTCCCTTTTTTTTACCTAAATGCTTTAATTTGATCCTCGTAAACGATGCAGATTCTTGGCTGTTTCCAGGTGCCAAGTTAAATAGTGGCGCAGCACTAGTCCAGTCCTTCAGGTGCCTCCTTCAGGCTGTGGTGGTTTGTTTTCTTTCTTCAGATAAATCTTTCCTGACTTCCATAAAAATTGTCAGCTGGGCATCTATTTTCCGTTGTTTAGAGTTAACTGAATGCTTTAGTGTCCCTACAGATGCGTGTTTTCTTATGCAATAAATTACATGAAAAAGGTTCACAGTGGAACTTAAACCATTGTAATTGTTTTTTAATCACAGTGAGTCCCCAAGGATGTTTCCACAAACAAACTTTTTAGCCTTTTCTTTCAAGTAAAGTTGGAATAACCACCAGTGAGAGCAATATTCATTATAATTTTAAAGAAGAAGTTCTGAAGATCTCAATTTAGAAGCCAAAATAAGCGTCTTTTAATTGCATCTTCAATAAAAGCAGCATTTTGAAAATAGCTGAAAATATTTTGAACGTCCTTTTTTTGCCATTACATCACCAGGATTCAGAGCACTCAAGCATTTGAACATATGTTAGTGATCCTGAGACATTGTCTCAACAGATTTTTATAATATTAACTTCAGAATTTTAGCGTTAAAGTAGCAATTTAAGAAGGGGGGGGGAAAGATGTGGAAACCACTCGGGCACTGCAGTGGAATGTGAATTGCTCGCAGAGGGTAAAATTTTAAATCATTAACTAATGACATAGCTGTTATATGAAACCAGAGTAGCCATACAGTAGGTTTTATGTTCCAAGGAGAGTGTAGTAACCTGTAATAACCCAAGATTTGATTTAGGGTCGCAGTTATAACAGGCTGAAGTGCCCTGGCAGTAACAGGAATGATAATTATCACGAATGTCGAATTTTCGGTCGGTGTCTTTAAGCTGCAGCGCCATCGTTTCTTCGTGGTGCCACCTCAGTTCCCGCCGGTTTCAGTGCAGTGATTTAAACTGAAGTGTTCAGAAGTTTAACGTGCCTTTCAAAAAAAAAAAAAAAAAAAAAACCAACCACCAAACCACAAACCCAAAGTCGACCTACATTTTGTTAATTCAGTGTTCAGAAATGCAAATAGCGTTTTCTGACATAATCAGTGAAACGCGGCGTGATCGATGCTGCGCTTCAGCTTTCGGGGG